CTTGTTTGTGTTCATGCCAGAGTTTATGGAGAAAAGATCCGCCATCCAAAGTCCCATATAATGAGGGTAGTTTGGCTGCTTATTATGACAGGCAAATTAGCAACTGGCCCATTGTGTTATTAGATGCAGGGCTTCAGCATCTCAATGCATATGACTTTGAGGGGAGAATGTAGCTCAATGGTAGAGCATTTGACTGCAGATGAGTTTTGCCAATACAGGTTATTTTAATAAAGTCATAGTACTAAGTTTAATGTCTTTGATATTGAGTACTCTGCATGTACATGTATGTGTGCCTGCGTGTGCAAGGATCCGCATCAAAAACATATTTGGTAAAGGGTATAACGGTAGACTTTTCCATGTTTGGTGTTCAGGACAACCCAGAGAGCAGCCATGAGTGGGCCACCGCCCATGGAGGGCAGACTGTAGAGTTTATAGTCACCTTTGGACTCTATTTCAAGTCTAATTTTGAATCTGGAAAATGAGCAAAATTAAACCATCATATCTTTATAATTCTTATTTCTGGAGATAAAACTTTAAAATCCTCTCATTTGGTGAATGAACTGGTTATCAGTAATTCTTAGGAGGTGGATGCCATCTTTTGAAGGTGTTGGAGCTAGAAGATCTAATGTTAAAGACATTCACAGTCTTAAAGATGAGGGACACAGAACTCCCTGGAGCAGAACTTAGAGAGCAAACTTCACAATCCACTCCCTAAGCTGCAAGGCAAATAGATTTGTGATCTAATTAAAACTGGGTATGAAAGGAAATCTGGGTCTTTGGCAACATCCATATGATGCACAGCAGGAAGGTTCGAGTGGACAGAGCTTCATCTCTAAACTCCACTCCTTGCAAGTTATGATCTAAGCCCCCAAACTCATAATTAGCCTGAGCCGAGAGGTCTGTAAATACCGAATGAGTTAATGTAAAAGAGGCTCTTGGCAGTGTTTAGCACATAATATTTATTGCATAAGTGGATGTTTTTATCAATGTGGCAAAATTTTGTAACTCTATGTGTAATTATTTCAAATGAGTTCACTGGTTTGGAAACACCACTTTTTTTTTTTTTTTTGGTAAAAGAAGCCAAAGACACAGAAAATTCTTGTGCTTTATTTTAACATTATTGCTAAATAAATTTTAGATTTCCTCAAGTGAGTTCTAATTGGTCTAATTTTTAAGTCAGAGCTGGGAGCAAGAACATCATCAAGCTGTATGCTTAAAATGCATCCTCTAGTTTTCAAACATTTACGCCAGTCATTAAGCTGTCTCTTTCATGAACTTCTAATTCTGTCACTAGTACAAATCAAAAGTGAGTCCAAGTATAATTTCCATTTGATAAAGGAGAAATACTTTTATACTAGATCCCCAACCCAGGAAGCATACTCTGATGGCTTATTGTCAAGTACATGACTGATGACTTAGCACTCACTCTCTACATACTCTAGAAGGAACAAACTAATTTAATAACTGTTTTCTCCTGCTTGCATGGCGATACACACCTTTAACCCCAGCACTCAGCAGACAGAGGCCCGAGGATCTCTGAGTTTGAGGCCGGCCTGGTCTACTTAGCAAGTTCCAAGCCAGTCAGGACTACAAGGTGAGACCCTGTCCCCTCCCCCCCCAAAAAAAAAATTCCTCCTTAGGAAAAAGTTAATCTTTTAGAAAACAAATTATTACTTTATCATCATTTAGGCACTATTTTGGTTACATTTTTACTATCACATAAGTAAAATAGACATTATTAGAAAATAATCTTATTTTTTAAAAGTATCTACATCTCCCCCAAACAGTGAATATTGCACTGGGACATTAGAGAAGCAGGAAGTAAAGCAGATTTTTGTATAAAAAAGAAATGCAAGCAGTGAAAGCAAGTGTGGCTCCAGACCTAGATTTGCTCACCCACCTTCACCTCCCACCATTTTCCCACAAGAAGGGCAGAGTTGTGTCTCTCTAGGGTGGGAGGGGGCTATGTGTGGGTATGTGTATTCATGCGATTCTATGTATCCATGCTTTAATTTCTCCTGGAAACCAATCCATTCTGTCAACTCACTTATGTGTTTATATAAGCTTACAAAAGTAAGCAGGTATTTGTTTATTGAATGGAACTTTTCCCCATGAACCAACAGCAGTTAGTTTACCGCACTTAAGCAGAATTGTAGGTGTGATGGATCGCTGTATGCAGACAGATACTGTTTTGTGACATTTGACAGAAAGGCTGTGTGTACAGGGTGAGGAACGCCTACTCAATGTCTGCACTGAATGATAAGGGTACTTTGTAAAAGAATATAATTAAATGTTATAATTCTTCATCCTTAAAGTCCAAATGAGTCCATTTCCAAAAATGCATTTGACAAAACAGTGCTACATGGTGTATTAATTGGCTTCTGTCTCCACAGGGGGAAGAGAAGCTACCTTAGTTGAGTACCACTTTGTTCAGCGTCTTCACTTAAAATAATTACTGCTGTCATTTTCCCAAACTTCAAAGTGCAGGTCTATTTTACAATAATAGAATCTGCATGTGAATAATTTAATTTATTGCAATATCATGTTGGGTGGAAATATAATTTGAAACTGGTATGCAAATTCTGCTTAATACTGTTCAGAATATGCCTCATTCCATAACCATGAATCAGTTTCTGGCTTAAATATAAAAGGTATTCCCTTTGAAAATAATGTGCTAGGGTTGTATGCATAGTAGCATGCTGTCCACATACTTGCTGCAAGATGTTTCAACAAGTCATATTTTTTATTTGGTTTTTGACAGTAGTTTTAAGAACTACTAATTTTAAGGAAAAAATTCAAATTATACTCAGAGGCAGTAACTAAGAGAAATCAGTGTTGCTGTTTAGGTGGTATGGAAGATACCATATGTTCAACTGATGAAAACGGGGGAGATGTAGCTGTGAAGATACTCGACTCTATTTGTTTAATCACATAACACATGTGAACTAATCATTTTCTTCGGAAATTTATTTATAAAATTCTATAAAATTCAAGACTCAAGAGGTGGCTCAGCCACTAAAGGTTAAGCTCACAGCCCAAACACCCAAAATCAAATAAGGTATTTTCATTACAAATCATTAGGAGTATTCTATCTGAAACATTTAACCATAGTATGATTCAAAATTTTTGAAATTTAAAAGACTGATATTTTTTCATTAGAGTCAAATATTTGTAATATATATCAACTGTACATCAAATAAAGTGACAGTGACTTTCTTGTTATTTTTATTTTGCACATGCTCATTAGAATTATTTAAAATAAATGATAAACCTAAGATTATAGAAGTGAGAAAACACCCTGTGGGTGGTAGTTCTTTTCCACGCATAAGTGTTAAATCTCTTTCACAACTAAATAAAGTGAATTTAGAAGCAGAGTTGGCACCAACATTGACACAGACCCTGGGAAGAGAGTGTGGTCGAAGACTGAGTGTTTCTATAGATACCAGAGCGATGCTAGCCACTAAGTAGGGTCTCTAAGCTGCCTGAAACTGGCTGCAGAGAAAGCACCTGAAGCTGATACTGTGTTCAGCTCCACCAGAAGCTGAATGAGTCTGTAGCCTGTGTGGCTCTTGGAAGCAACTGAAGTAGCCTGGATGCAAAAGAAAACTGCTCAAGACACCTGGGGGAGTACTTGATGGACAGTTTTTCATACTCTTGGAACACTTGCCTTCTAGCTAGGAAAATGAAACCTCAAGAGCATGGGAGGCATGGCTAAGCTCACACTGTTGGGCAAAGAAGAGTTAACCACTGGTCTCTGTACCTCTCTGGACTGCGTCCTTTTTGTTGCACACCTTTTCTGTATACCATTTACCTATGCATGCTCCTCCCCCAGTCGAAGGTATAAATACTAGGCTAGCACTCGTTACATGTTTATCAGGATAAAATAGAACAAAGTAGAGAATACCCCAATGACGGAACACACATAACAAAGGGAGCCGCTTTCAAAATGGAGACCAGTCAAGAGAAGGATAATGGACTCGCCAGACCTGGGTTTAATTCTCAGCCACAACATAAGCTGTTTGGGCAATAATTCAACCTCACTAACTCTCAGTTTTCCCATCTGTTAAATGGCACCACTAATTCCTAGCATGATTGTATGAGGGTCAAATGTGAGAGCATTAAAAGCATTGGTCTCAGTGTTTGCACATGGTGAACAGTAAATATGCATATTGACTGTAATGATTTGAATGTTCAATTTGCTTTAAGTAGCTTTTACATAATGTGTTTAATTATTTTGAACTTTCATATAATGATACCAAAAGCGAAGGGGCCCAAGATTTATAACTGAAATAATCAAAAAAGCCCTTTTCATTTCAAAAATCTCTTTCTCGTACATTGCAGCTAAGTTTGAGCTTGTCAAAGGGAAGACAAATCTTGATGCACAGGTTATTGTGTATGATCTGATTACATAGCGAGAGGTCAAGAACAAGTCAGCATCTCCCCTGTTCAGTCCTTTCCAGTCTTTCCAGGTATTTTTCTTAGGACTCCTGAAACTCTCTCATAGCATGTGACATGGATATTCTCTATCTCCTTCTAGGAGTGATATCTCAGGCAGCAATTTATCCTATTCTTTATTTCTCCTAAACATGCAGCAATATGCTTCCCATGGTTTCTTAGTAAAGGTTAGCCATTGGAATGTGCCCAGTGGGACCCCTCTGTGGACTAGGAGGGTACCTTTCTTAGGTATCTGGAGAAAAGAGTAAGGAAAGGTATCTGGGGAAGGCTAGCAAGCCTCTGGGACATATGCCTTCTTCACAGTTTCACAGTATTGTTTCGAACGTAGAGGCACAAAGATTCGCTGTTCTAGATTTCCTAACATTGTGGTCTCAGAAGCAGATTCAATTGCTGACAAAACTCTAGTCTACAGAGATCGTCATCTCAGTTGAGCTTTTGAAAGCCTTTTTGAAATGTGTTTGTGGGAAATATGAGGTAGAAAAATCTTTTAAAGTCACTTTAGAACAAATCCCTTTATCCCAAGAGTATTATTGTGTGCACATTACCGGTTCTCCTTTGTCCCCTTTATGTCCATTGTAACCAGTTCTTAGTGATCCTGCTTCCTCCTGAGGGGAAAAAAAATACCTGTGTCAAAATCATTCTGCTCCATTGCTCTAAAGCCAAATCTGCCTTCCTGTCTATCTATCCATCTATCTAGATATCTATCCATCTATATCTATCACATATATATTGTCTACCTACATACCTACCTACCAACCTACCTATCACTTATTTACCTGCCTGCTTTTAAAACAGACATAATCCTTTTATGAGAATAAAAAGGATTTTCATGGATGTCCGAAGGCCCAGCATCACTGATCCAACAAACAAAGGTTTAGATGAAGCTAATTAATTGAATATGCCCCACAGAGGCAATTAATTAATAGAAAAGAGGAAGCTGGTTTGAAATGTGTAGATGCTGCAAAAATTCAGTCATCAAACAGAAAGGGGGAAGTACTATGCAGAGTGTTTTTCTGTCTTTATTGAAGATCAGGCACTTTTCCTGCAGCACCAAATTCCCAAACTGCAGCCTCTTCCTAGAATGTGCTGTGTACACAGTCTCCCTGAACTGCACCGTGTTCCTAGCATTTATATATATTTCATACTTCCCTGCCATACAGTGTTTTTCTCCTCAACTTTTTCTGTTAATTGTAACTTTCATACATTGGAAGGAAAGCAAAAAGACCCACAGCCAAACATTAGCCAGAGCTGGGGAACCCTGAGGAAGAGTGGGAGGAAGAATTGTATGAGCCAGAGAGGCCAAGTACATCACAAGAAAACCCACAGAATCAACTAACTGGGGCTCATAGGGGCTCAAAGAGACTGAATCAACAATCGGGGAGCCTGCATGGGTCTGACCTTGGCCCTTTGCATATATATTATAGTTGTGTAGCTTGGTCTTCTTGGGACTCCTAACAGTGGGAGAAGGGGCTGTCTCTCACTCTTTTGCTGGCTTGGGGGACCCTGTTTCTCACTCCCAGTTTGCCTTGTCTAACCTTAACATGAGGGGAGGTGGAGGTACCTAGTCTTACTACAATTTGATATGCCATGTTTGATTGACATCCCTGGGAGGCCTGCCCTTTTTTGAAGAGAAACTGAAGAGGGATGGGGGATGGATCAGAGGGAAGGTGTGGGGGGGCAGGAAGGAGAGGAGGGAAGGGAAATTTCGTTCAGGAGTAAAAAAAAAAAAATCTCAAAAAAGGAAAGCAAACATCCAAGAAATGAATCTTAGATTTCTTTTTCTGACCTGCTTTGGTGGTTGGTTGTTTGTGAGACTTGATTTCCTCAGCACTGAGGAAAAAGCACCTTCTGTAGATCACAGGCCTTAGTCAAAGAGTCCAGATTGCTGTGAGGAGTGACCTTTCATTGTGTACATATGAAAGCTAGCATACCTTGTTTGGAATGCACTGGCATGGGTCCTTAAGTTCCTGGTGTCCCAGCAGATATGAAGATATTTCACCAGTGTGAGAGGTCACCCATGATGGAGTGGTACTTCCAAAGTTGCTTTGTTCAGAACACTAAAATCCCCAATTTAGAAAATGATGTCAGTTCTTGATGCTACCTCCCATCAAACCAGAGGAAGTTGCTTGCCAGCCATACTTCTTTCTTATTAACCAAGCCTTGTCATCCACGTACAAAAATTATCACACATTTGCTCTATCACAAAACCTCCAGCATATTTAACCACACTAACAACACACAAAGAATATATGAAAACAGATTATTTAAGTGAAAAATTTTAATTATATTAGGTGGCCTTATGATAAATATAGTAATATTGTACATTTAAATCAATTACATAAAAGACTTTACATAAGCAAAATGTGAGTAGTATCTGGCAAACAAAAGTTCACAGTCATATACATTTAATTAGTAAAATATGGGTACTATGACAAGCTGGTTATAGCTATAAGTAAAGCTGGAAATGATTTTTTTACACGCTAAGATTATAATTATTTAATTAAAGTATACCCTATTCTTCTCCATTGTCCTTTAAAGACAATGTAAAAGTAGAGGATACTGAATCTGGTGATTTTAGAACATGCTGGACAACATGAAGTAAAGTGTGGATATAAATTGACAGAATTCCCCACACACATACCAGTTTAGTTCAAGAGGCAGGAGATACAGCAATTAAGAGCCAAGATTGCTTTTGCAGAGAATCCCAAGTTCAGTTCTCAGCACCTACATCTGGGGACTTACCCCCAGCGGCTATTCTAGCCTCTGATGCTCTTCTCTATTCTTCTGTGCCTGTACCCATAGCAGATATGCAAATATCTACACAGACATATACACACACTTGAACATGCGCATATATCGCATATACATACCCAGCTCAAATAAATACTTCATAATATAGACAGAAAATTAATTCACAAGGTGATTCTAAAGACAATGACTCTTCTTGACACCTGATAGATAGCCCACTGGTCGGTCCTATGATGAACTCTTCATTTGCAGTTTCAGTGAGGGGGAAACAATGGGTGGAAGACCTCACCAGTTGTTTTGTATACTACAAATTTTACACCAATGGACAAACATTTTCAGGTTATGACTATAAAAGATTTCGGTGGTTCTCTCCTGTGATGTGAGATCACAATGGATGTCTATTTTCCTTCTTGTGTCTGGTATTTATTTACTTGTTGTATTTACTTTCTAAAATAAGAATTTATAAATTGTTTTTTTAAATAGATAGAACTCTAACACTTTTGATAACAATGAAAGCTTTAACAAACAACACCTGATACACTGGGACCTTGCACTAGTGATTTCATGCACATTGCCTCTAGATTTGGTGGTCATTGGGTATGCTAACAAATTTTCAAATCCTGAATTCTAAAAAAAAAAAAAAAATTATGTTCAGATGAAACAAGAACGCTACTCTGGCAGTTTTTTCTTCCCAGATGATTTATTATTTTCTAAGTAGTTTTTCCCTGCTTACATTGTCAGTCATGTGACATTTACTCGAGTAATGGCTTCTGAACTCAGATCACATGGCTGTACACTGAGCACTCTTAACAACTGAGCCATTTCTCTAGCCCCCTTCAAAACATTTTTCAAAATAAAAAGCAAAGAAGACAGCTGATGTCAGAAGTTCATCAACTGTGTTTAAATGGCTTTTGTATGATTATCTGATTTAAGTGCTCATGAGATGTGTCAGACTTCTATTTACTTTTAACTACAGAGTGGATGGTGATGTCATCAACACAAATAATTATAAATATGAACAATACTGGGTTTGGTTGTTTCTAAATAATTGCTATGAATTCCTAACTTATTTTCAACTATAAAACTAATTTCCAAATAATCCTTATAAATAGTGTTTACTTTTTAGTAAATTTTAAGGTTAGCAATGTGAAATTAACAAGAACTGTTAACAATTATAAAGTCATGTCTGACTTTAATTACTATTACTTTATCCAACTCTTCACCTATACATATAGAAGCAATTTTTATAGTAACATTAACATAAGGCAATGAATATTGGTCAAGAATATTATATTTACAGATATCACTATATTACTTTTAAATGGAAGAAAACAGTTATTTTAAGAACACTAATATAATACAATCATAATGCCTTAAAACAAACTATTGGGATAATAAAACCTTCATGATTAAAGGTATAGGCTTAGGCAGCCTTGGTATTTCAAGTCTTTAGATTGGCATTCAAGCTATCTTTTTAGGTATTTATAGAAAGATATTTGGCAGACTTTCACTTCTCTTGGAATGAGATCATAAAGTGGGTTTGAGATGTGCTTTGTACAGCCAAGTTATATAAGCAAGACATAATATTTGAAAGACTTGGAGTTATTTGGCTAGATTTTCTCTCTACTTCTCAAACTGCATGGGAGAAGTTACATGAGTTTTTGAATTAAAAATTACTGATTAAAGTTCCATATAGACTTCCTAGCCATCGTAGATATTTGGGGAAATTTAAGATCCAAAGAAACAGAAGTTTAAATCTTTGACTCATGTTTTTTTTCCGGTGTTCTTTTGGTGAGTTTTTTTTTGGGGGGGGGATTATTCCTTTCACAGCCTTTACTTCATAGTTAATAAATCAGCAAATGAAGAGGTTCTGCTGTATGGTGATTTGAAAGGGAAATGATCCCAAGGGGCTAGAATAGTTCTACACTTGGTCCCCAATATGTGGTGCAGTTTGAGAAGGTGGTGGTTCTTGCTGAGGGAAGTACCTTACTGTGCAGGGCTTTGAGAGTTCATAGCCTTGCCCTACTTTCTGTTCATCCTCTCCATCTTGTGTTTGAGGCTGAAGCCAGGCATATCCTTCCCCACTGCCACTATGGCCTCTTCCTTTACAACTATGAGCTAAAAGAACACACTTTCTCCCATAAGTTACCTTTGGTCATGGTATTTTATCAGGGCAGTAGAAAACAAACTAATGTATACTTGACAATCTTTTGCTAACAATATGCTAGGTGTAAAAGAATTTGAAAGTAAATCCTCCATTGCTATCTAATTTGTACTTCAATCAATTAACAACAAATATTATATTCACAAAATGCAATGGTGTGGATGACTATTACAGTGAGCCACAGGAAACACTGATTTTTTTTCTTGAAATGAAGTATATGGATATGGGAGTAATGGTTATTCAGCAAAGGTTGATAATATTTAACATGGGAGACTAATCCACTTGGTTGATATTTTGTTGCCAACGGGGAATCACTTAGGACTCTGAGTACAAGATGGCTACACAGGGACTCTGTTCATTTTAGTCAGTCTTTTTTCTTAGTTCAGTATCTACTAGATCCATGGTTAAAAGAAAATATTTACTGTAAGGAAACAAATGAACATGCAATGCAGTGATTTAGAGACTCATTCTGTCAAGGAAAAGGGCGTGTGTTAAAAGGCAGTTGGCATGATGCTGTGAAAGCTAGGCAGAATGGAAAAGTGGACTTGACAATGATGGGAAAAAGAAAAAAAGGAATGAAATATGTCACAAAGCAAAACTAGACAGAGGGGTTGACTAGTCTTAAGGGGAAAGGCCTGACTTTAATGTGGGTTACACCTCCTATCAGCTGGGGCTTCCGATGAAACAGGGCAAAACGCATAGGGGGAAAGATATAAATCCTCTTAGTTATATTGAGTTCAATGGGAGAACAAATCATCATCAAATCTCAGTATACAATCTGGTGGTTGAAGTTTGGGCAGGTACTCAGAAGGGCTCCCTACTGGGAATAAATTACCCACCTAGTTTCAGCTGAGATATTTCATAGTGCCCTACACAGAATCTACAGACCACGAATTAAAAGATAACTAGCATTTGTGTTTTACCTTGTAAGAAAATTAGCCTACCTTAGTAGTTGCTATGTCACAGCATGATTCTTCGGCTAAAAAGTTGGCATTGCAAGAGATTATGAGTTGGTGAAGTTCAATCTGTGAAAAGCAAGTAGCAACACACATTGTTGTCTTTGAGAATCAAAATTAGGCATAATGAACTATAGAAATTTAAATAGAAATAAAAGGAAAGTTAATCTAAATTATGGAGACATGTTTATAGTGTTACATTTCAATTTGTGATTTATTACTTTAAGTGTCATTTGAGAACCAGTCAGCTACACAGGAAGGTATCCAGACAGGAAATGAGTTGATGAAAACAATTGCAATGTTTAGCTAACTGTCTCAAGCAATAAAAATGAAATATTGAATTAAGAAAACAATAACGACAAATATCTAGAGATATATTGTTTTGTGCTACAATATAATACTGTACAAAATGACACTTAAAAGTAAAACTTTGCAGGAAGGAGGCCCAAGGTGTGAACATGAAATGGAAAAGTCTTTCTCTTTAGGTCCAAATGTCCTATCTGGGGTATGAAGTAAGTGTTCCATTCCCAGTAAAGTCAAAGAAGAAGGTTAGTTTTTACCTATGTTTAATGAAGTCTGCATAAAGCCTATTGATTTTATATAAGTACAGTCCTGAGTAAGACTCAAAAGCTGAACCCAGTGGCACCTGGGTGACTTTGCTGCAAGAAGAGTGTTACCTTGAGACTCACTTGAGTTATATATGGTGTTCTAGAGCAGTCTGGACTACCCAGCGCAATCCTGTGTCAATAGCACTAAATAAAAGATTCTCACCCTTTTTACAAAAGTTTCTTCTATTTGCAGAAGGTTCATTTTTTGGCATTTAGACAGATGAAAGTACTTCATGGAAAAGATAACCGTACCTCTAATGGAGAGGTCAGAACAATTGTCTAGGAAATGGTAAACAGAATTTACTAGTGATAAAATATCAATATGGTAAATGCTTAAATCAGCTTCTTTAACTCCTGCATAGCAAGAGGCACTGACTGGAGCTTTGAAATTAGCATATGATTGTAAATTTAGGGATATAGTTAACAAATAAATATACATAGACTTGTTATATAGCATGAATCAGATTTAATCCTTCCCACCCCTTTTTTAATCCTTTCTTCTTTCCCCTTCTTTATGATTCTTTATTGCCAGTGTGACAGATCTCGGTTATGCATTAATTTGAAATTAATTTGAAGTTACTTTGAAACTAATAAATAAGTATTTTGTATTGAAAAATCACATTACAGCATTGTCATAGTTTATCTGTGATCATAGAAAACAGACATCTGGGTAGCTGTGAATGTCTAACTTGCCCCCATCCTATGCACAGAGTTGAAAACAGGAGGCGTGTTATAGTACTCACTATACTGAGATGAACAAAATATATTGGGTCATAGAAGGCACTGGGTATTCTAGAGAACTTGTGGATTCATGAGCAGCCTCACGTCTGTGGGTGACACAAAAATGTGCAAGAAGATGACATTTGGCAATTTACATTCAGTGGCATTTTACAAAGGTTATTGAGTTTTCATTGGAAAAGTTTAAGTACCATACTTAGTCTAGTGAAATACTGGTGATAGCATACAAATTATGCAAAATAAAGATGGAAAATTATAACTAACTAGTGTTGCTTATAACTGAAGTTTATTCAATCACTGTTATCAAAATAATGGGTAAGAGGAGGCTGGCAGGAGTGCTCAGTGGTAAATGCATCAGTTCTGCCATTGTCATCTCCTGAGTTTGAATTTCCAGTTCCCATAGGGAAAAAAAAAATCTGACACGATTGTGCTTGTCTTTATGTAGTTCTACTGCCAGAGACAGAGACAAGTAGCCCTGAGTGCTCACTGCCCATCAAGCCAACCTGAAACAAGACCTACCTGTGACAAGATCTGCCCTCATCTTGTCTCAGGACTGGGAATGATTGAGAAAGAAATCCAGACACCTAACATCCAGCTCTGCCCTCACGTGTACCTGCACGGTAAACTCTCTGCACTCTCACGTGCATGCACCACATATGAATACACCTCACACTAAACACCCCACACATATGCACCTTGTATTGAAATTGTATCACGTGTCACACTGGGCTCAGCACCGCATATGTGTTACTTTACTTTAACTAAAGATACGTTATCAATTCTAAAGGATTATAATTTAATACTAAATACTTATATTTATACTCATAGATGGTGCAGTAGCAGATAATGGTTCATGAGAGAATTACGAAAGGCAAAATGCAGAAAATAAGTGAGTATGGAGTCCTGATCCCTAAATGTGTCATCTAAACCAGACTTGTCCCAAGACTCAGGGATGATCATGAAAGAAATGGCAGAAATATGGTAAGAACCACAGGTTGGGGAGGAGTGCTGCGACCTGTGTTCTAGAATGGTGGGGCTGTTGCATACGTGAACTCACAGGGATTGTAACTGCCCAATGACACTCCACGCCTAGATCAGGACCATCGGATCTGGTGGCTGATGGTACTAGAGGAAGGAGAGCTAGTTTCCTTCAGGGATCTATGCTGATCAAAGGGATCAAAGGCCACCCATGATTCAGTAGATGGCTTTACACCCATGTATGCGCTGGCAACACTAGATGAATACAGTGGGTTTAAAAAAAAAGGCCATGTAATTGGAGGGGAGTGTGGTGGAGTGGGAAAATGGATACGGAGTAAGGAAGGTGGTAAATATGATCAATGTACATTGTATGAAATTGTCAAAGATAATTAAAAAATAGGTGCTGAAGTTTTCATGCAGCTGTTCTTAGGAATACACTATGTACCTGACCAAAAGACAATAAATACCAAATTCACCAACCAGAAATAGAACAATTAAGAGCACTTGGTGACCTTTTGCAGGGCACATGTTTCCAGCACCCTCACAGCAGCTTATAACCATCTTTAACTGCAGTTGCGGGAGACCTGATGCCTCCTTCTGGCTGTCAAAGGCGCTGGGAATGGACATGGTGCATATATTATGTGTAAGCTAGTATAGTATAGTATAGCTAAATCTACTGAGCACTACATTTGAAACAAACATGGGCAGTAACATGCATATTTGTTAATTATTAATATCTTTTTACAAAATAATTTTGAACTGTAAAAGAAAATAAAAGTTGTATCCAGCTAAAATATGTAGGCTGTATCTTTAAAAAAAAAAAAAAAGAAAAAAAAAAACATGCTGGTGCTGATGCCATTCTCCAGTACCACTGCAAGAACACCCAGTCTTGAACCATGGTACAAATCCTACACTATTACAATGAGACACTCTATCAAATCTGTTTGGTAAACAAAGATATTAACAAATTTACAGATCCAAACTGGGATTCTGACTCCAGCCAGTGAGCTTTCCCTGTGGTCCCAACACATCCCTGGACAAGCTGCCCTGCTCTGCCTGTATTCCTGGTTATCTCTGACCACAGGTCCTGACAGTCCTGTCTTTCTGATCTTCTCACACACATTCTCAAAGAGAAAAAGGCTTTCAAAATCTTATTTTCTTGACTATGTATCTGTATTTATACATTTTTCCTCACAAATGTGTATTTGCATAAGACTTTATTTCTGAAAAGCAATTTCATTGTCAGCACTTTGTGTTTACAGCGTTGTCATTTATTCCTGGAAATCTGCATTCAGATTTTTGAAGACTTTCCTATCATTCTGCCCATAAGAAAATATTTAGCTATTAAGTTTAGACAGATCTCACTTTTTAAAGATCACAGGCCTTATGTTGCAAGAAAATCAACAGAAAATATATAGCATTTTAGCTTCACCTGAGTTTTTCTAGCTGTTTCATCATCCAAATGAGCCACTGATAGATTTAATGACTGTATTTCTGTCCAAAGGAATTCTAGAAAGACATTATAAGTTGTGGAAAATGCAATAGAATTTCTTGAATGAATTCCCTGTTGTTTTTGAGTGAAAACATCAGATAGTCTGGAACCATTTAAAGTTCATCTTGTTTTAATAGTTTTTTTTTTTATTTAAAGCATAAAGGTTTGGCCAAGCTTATACTTTATTTGTGTCTTATTTTCAATTTTTTACTAAAATTTACTCTTAATATTCTTAGTGCTTAAAGGCATGACCCAATTATTTTAAATTTGCTGACTAAAAAATATGGTTGAAAATCAAATATAATTATATGTGAAAATAGACTTGGGAATAAATAGTCTTCATATATCTGATGACAGTAAAAACATTAATGAAAGGGAGGTATTTTGTGTGTGTAATCATTAAAAGAAGAAATGGGTTCTTTTATTCCTTCCTCCTCTCTTTCTTCTTTCCTTCCTTTTTCTCTCTTTCTTCCTCCTTCCTTCTTTCTTTCTCTTTCTCATTCTTTCTTTTTTCTTTCTTCATCCCTCCCTTCCTTTATTCCTTCCTCCCTTCCTCGCCTCTTCTCTTTTTTTTCTTTCTTTCCTCCCTCCCTCCTTTATTTATTTATTTATATTTCACTGGGTCTGATGTAGCACAGATGACATTATACTCACTATGTGGCTGAGAATGATCTTGAACTGAACGTCTGATCCTCTTGCCTTTCCTTTCTAGTTCTGGGGTTAGAGGCACACACCATGAACCACCTTGCCTGGTTTATATGGTACTGGAGATGAATCCGATGTGCCATGAAGGCTATGCAAACTCTCTACCTAAGGAGCTGCATCTCCAGCCCAAGGAAGTCACTCTTGATAAGATATTTTGCTTTAATTTAGGGATGATGAAGCACACTCTTAACATTACTGTTACACTTACATCCACAGGTTTGCCATCTAAAGCTCGCCCAGCAATCACTGTCTTTCCATGAAAATCCACAGAGGCCTTTTCTTCTGTGTGCCGACTTGCAATTAAATTACAATCCATATAGAGAGAAAGGACTCGGGATTGCACACCAATGCCAAGTTTATGCCACTGACGATCAAAAAGAGGACGGAGTTCTCGATTCTTAAAAACGTAGTTCAACAAATCTCCCTCAGCACCTCGGAACATAAATTCTACCACCTTCTTTGTGCCATCAATCACTATAGAAATCTGAAAAATAAGAAAGATAAACAGAGTATCGTTATATGGCTTGAAACTCAGTGTTCAAAATTAGTGAAGCATTCAAATCGAAGTCCTATGTGTGTAACAGAATAACTGAAGAACCGGCTAAACATGTGAGACAGACCTGTGCCTTTTACACTGGCAGATACAAAAGATCAAGTACCTTGCTGCAAGTGTGTTATCATGAAGCATCCTGTGTAATATGCTCCTTCACAAAAGAACGTATAAGGGTGTATGTGTGCACAAATATAAATGATTATTTTACATTTATAAATGCAATCATAACTATATAATTGTGTTACATATTCATAGAAATATAATTTTATGAAGTATAAAGGTTATTGTTTTAAATTTTACTCATGGATAATATTAATACATACTGAAACATGCTTATATATGTTAGTGTTCAACAAGATTTATAATTGAGCATTTCTTTTTACATGAAAACTGACATGGACCTTTTAAACCCTTAATAATTTTCATGGCAAAGAGAGATACTTTATAGACGATGTGTATTTCATTCTAAATGATCATCCCATCATAAAAATGTGACCTATATTAATAGTAGGAAGATCAGTCAAAACTAAAAGAATCCAATGGTTATGTATAGAAGTGAACACAAATGTGTGATGGTAATAAGTAATTTTGAGGTCTGTGGGATGCTTGCATGACCAATTTAGCTCCACTGTTATTTCCACAAGGTCTTCTGGATTCTCCACTCTCCTTTCTACACCCAGACTTCTCCCATCACACTTCCATCAGTATTGTAACTATGCTGTATAAGTTCTCATAAGTGTCCTCCCATTATGGACTTTTTGCTCCATAAGAACATGAATTCTGTTTTTTAAAATCTCTTATTTTCGGGAGGGAGAAGGAAATTAGATCGTTTCTAAATGAAATAAAATGTATAAAATTGTCTCCAATTTTAATAAAATTTATGAAGGAAAAAAATTTCTTATTTTCTTTTGGCATGTGTATGTGTAATGCTTGGGTATATGTGTTCCTATGTGTGGAGTACGTGGTGTGTGTGTGTGTGTGTGTGTGTGTGTGTGTGTGTGTGTGCAAGTATGATGCACATATGTGCACAAGAATGTGGGAGCCAGAAGTTAACATTGGGTGTCTTCTTCAAGTGTTTTCCACTTTCTGTATGGTGGCCATGCCTCTTCCTTGAATCCAGAGCTCATTGATTTGACCAGTGTTGCTAGCTAGCTAACTTTCTCTGGAGGTCCCATCTCCTACCTCATGAGTCCTGGACTTACAGGTGGCATTTATGTGGGTGCTGGGGATCTGAACCCCAGTCCTCATTTGTGAATGACAAATGCTTTCCCCCACTGAATTATGTCCCCAGCCCTAAATTTGTTGTTCTTATCACTTCTTGGCATAAAGCATGTGGCCCATATTTGTTTTTATTGATGAAACAAATATTTAAGTGTCAGAATAATATATGACACTAGTGGTGAGAGGAAGTGAAGTTGATTAATGACATGAAGCCATTCCAAAAGCATCTGTAAAAGGAAAACAGCTCCGCTCCACTGTCTTCAGATAAAATATGAATCTCTAAGTTTAAATAAAAACTGGGCTGGAGGCATGGATCAGTGGTTCAGAGCACTGATTGCTCATGCAGAGGACCTGAATTCAATTCTCAGCACCAACTTGATAGCACAAAATTATTTATAACTCCAGTTTTGGGGACCCTGAGCTCCTTATGACCTCTCTGGTCACCATATAATATATATATATATATATATTAAAATAAATGTACATAAAATAAAGTAAATCTTTAAGACAAGACAAAGCAAACCTCTCATCCCATCACTGATACCATCAAGACTATCCTACTTATACTGTTTGCATTTCTCTATTGATGATTTCTCTAAACAACATAGTATTTGAGTACTAACTACATCAGTTCCCAGATTTGGATATACAGAACAGAGAACCACCTAATCAAACATATTGGTATCTTACCTGTGGCATATTCTGCTGGTTTAAAATCTGCCATAAAAACCACCGCTCCTTCTTGGTGCTTCTTCGTACTCGAAATATGACCGTTACAGAGTACTCCTCAAGAAGGCCTTTGGGAAATATCTTACTATGGGAAGAAAGAAAATAACTATTGTGAGGAGACTGAAGGTGGCCAGGGAAGAAATCCAATTGCAATTCTGTGAAACGTGATCTCTCAGTCATAGCTCCTCTCAAGGAGTTTATAACTTACCATTCATTCTTCAGCTGTTAGATATATGGGAGCAGCCATGTCTGCATTTTCTATGTAATTTTTATTTTCATCCTCTCCCTTTTTGTAATCATCTGATATGGTGTCATTAAAGGACAGGATATGGTGGGTAGGCTATAGTACTATGTTGTGCTCTTATCTAGAGGGGTATCTAACACAGATGAGCTCAGAGTTCACTGCATTCAGATGAACAGCAGTGATGGATCAAAATGAAAATTGGCTTCCTTGGTGGTTTTTGATGGAGAAGAGTGGAGATAATTTCCAAAAACATTGATTATAAATCAATGAATATTTTCTGAAGAAATTTTACCATATTAAACTCTTGAAGATAAGTTCTTAGTATTAATTTCCTGGGTAAGTTATGATGACACTAAATTAAATGAGATTTAGCTTTATTTTCATTCCCTGAGAAAAATTAATCTTTCTAGATGATAGATGCCAAAACATGTCCCCATTATTCTTCTACCTCAATCTCAAGTGGTCTTGGTAAAAACATAAGGAAACAAAAATATTTCACATTATACATATCCACATATGATGAATTTAATTTTCATTAGATAGTGAGCAATGTGTTTATTTCTTTTCATTAGATATGAAAAATTCTACAATATTGTAACACTGCTTTTCTTTTCTTTTTTTTCAAGTAAGAAAGTATGTCCCTTAAAGACAAACAGACTTGAAGTTGTCATATATAAATAAAGCACATCGTCCTTAATTTGTAACTACTAACTTTGAATACTATACTCAGCTCTACTAAAAGCAATAATCAAGACACTGACTACCAGGCTGCTATGGGGAACACAGACATTTTCTTTTTTCTCTCTGTGTTACACAGAGTCACATGTAGTAGATAATTTACAAAGAAAACATGAAAAAGATGTATTTGATTAAGGTTTTAATTTACTTACTTGGTTAAATAGAATGTTCACATATGTATCAATAGATCTATTTGTGTGTGTGTGTGTGTGTGTGTGTGTGTGTGTGTGTGTGTGACAGACAAAGCTCCCAGCCTAACCGAGTTTTGACTTTATGATAGTGGGAAGGTGGTATACATTAAGGAAAATGTATATAGGTTGGTGAGAAACTATATATCTATATAGAAACTATCTCACTATCGGTTGGTGAGAAACTAATTGAAACTTTTATATCGCTAAAATGTTATCTAATATGTGAATATGTATTTTAATAAATAGAGTTGTTACACCATTTTATTGCATTTCCTACTTTTCTTTGATATTGATCCTTATTCCCTTTCTATTTTATAGTTTGAAAATACTATTAGACAAAAAGCAAATGCAGGTGATTTTTTATTCATGTTCAAAATGGGCTATAAAGTAGTGAAGACAACTTACATCTTCAGCAATGCATTTGGCACAGGAACTGCTAGCAAACATATGGGGCACAGTGGTTCAAGGAGTTTTGTAAGAAGAGCCATCAAGAGAGGAGATTAGTGACCAGCCATCAGCAGTTGATGATAACCAATTGAGAGCAGGCATCTAAGATCCTCTTACAAGTACATGAGAAATCAACAAAAAATGTGAAATAGATCCAATTCAATGTTCCCTCAACATTTGTTCAAACTGGAGAGGCATAAAAAGTTCAATAAGTAGGTGTGAAGCATTTAAATGTCCCCCTTGAACTGTCATCTTCCTCTATTCTACACAACAAACCATTCCTCAATCAAACTGCAATGTGGGACAAATGAGGGCTGTATACAACAACCAGTAGTGACCAGTGAAGAGCACCAAATCACTTTTCAAAGCCAAATGGCACCAAAAATGTTATGGTGCTGTTTGGTAGTCTTCTCTAGTCTCATCCACTACGATTTTTTTAGTTCTAGAGAAATTGTTACCTATGAGAAGTATGCTCAATAAACTGATAACAGGCGCCAAAATCAGCAATGTTTGCAACACCATAGTTCGTCAGAAAGGGCACAATTCAAGACCATGCTTGACTGCACATTGCACAGTCAACATTCTAAAAGTTCAACAAATTGCACTATCAAGTTTTGCCTCATCTGTGATGTTCACTGTGATTGGACCTCTTGCCAACCAACTACTATTTCTTCTAGCATTTCAGCAACTTTTACAAGAAAAATACTTCTACAATCAACAGGATGAAGAAATACTTTCCAAGAGTCCATCAAATCCTGAAGCATGGATTTCCATGCCAAGAAACAAGCAAACCTATTTCTCATTGGCAAAAATGTGCTGACTACAGTGGTTCTTCTTTTACTTAATGAGGATATGTTTGAGACTAGTCATAATGATTTAAAATCCATGGCTCAAAACTGCAGTTCTTTGGCACCAAGTGGTTTGTTTTCTAATATATCTGGGAAAATGGAATATCAGACGAGGAATTGCTTCCATCCCATTAGTCTGTGAGACATTTTCTTAATTACTAATTTAAATAGGAAAGTCCAGACAACCACGATGGTGCCATCCTTCAGTGGGTTGGCTTGGACTGAAAAAGAAAAGGTGGCTGAATGTGAGCCTAAGAACAAGCCAGTATGCAGCATTTCTCCATGGTTATTGCTGTAATCTCTGGCTTTGAGGTCTTGCTTTGGCTTTCCTGAATTTAGACTGGAACCTGAAAACTGAAAAAAAGCCTTTCTTCTCCATCACTTCTGGTTACGATGTTTATCACAGTAGCAGAAAACAGTTGAACACAGTTGAATTTCCCAGTTGGATCTTTTCTGGGTTCAGACATGTGATGCACTATGCTCATTTGTGATACTGGAGGGCAGCGGGAGCCACAGGGCTCCATCAGTCAACATGATCATGAGAGTAAGAAGCCAGCTCTTCAGTGCACTATGCTGCTGAGGTAGATGGGCGAATGAAGTACATTCTCTGCTTTGAATATATTCACATTACCAAAAGCATCTGCATTTACATAAATGCATCTATCTAGGGCTGGGGAGACAGCTCAGCACTTAGAAGCACTTTTGCTCTTGCGGGGGGCTCAGCTTTGATCCGAAGTACATACATGGAAGCTCACAATTGTCTGAAACTCCAGTTCCAGGAAATCAAATATCTTTTTCTGGCCTCTATGAGCACTGTATACAAATAGTGCATATACATACATGCCATCAAACACTCACAGACATGGAATTAAAAATAATAAGTGAATCTTAAAAATAGACAAATTCACCTACATAGAATCTCGTTTTATTTTCTTTGTTGAGGGTTCAGCAAAAGAAGCAACAGACGTTATCAAAACCACATTATTATATCCCTTTAATTAATTGATAAGAAAACAATTTTTATTAATTTCCTCAAAATAAATCCCAGTAATTGGATATTGTTTCTTCTGGGATTTTTCCATTATCAAATAAAATTTTACTAAATTACTATTGACAATTACGATATAGTTTTAAGTAGTGTTGCTGACTTAACAGAACAACAGAGAACAACAGAACAGAACAACAACAACAACAAGGCAGGCATAGACACATGCCATTTCTCTTTGGGACTATTTAAACCTGAAAGGTGGGCACATGTAGGGTTGAAGAGACAATACCAAACACACTTCCACCTGGAAGCTTTCAGGCAGTTACAGGAAAACTAATGTTGAAGGAAATTCCAAACCCCACATTATTCCCTTATCACATGTAATAATAGTTGATATTCTTTCTGGTTTGCTTTCAATGTGAAAAGCATTGTCTGTGTTGGCATGATGAGTTAATGGGCATGCCTCACTGCCCAGCATTAGGCATGTGAAAACATTAGGCACATGAAAACACTTGGGAGTTTTCACCAAGGCTCTTCAAATGCTAATTTATGGTGATTATTTATCCAGATATATTCCCTTTTGTCCAAAAAGAATACTTTTGTTTTTACCTGATAAATGATGTTCACCTGGCTATAAGCATTTTGCAAGTGTAGGGGTGAGGAGGTAACGTGAGAGTCTCATGGTTCATTATAGAATTTCGCCTTTACCCCATTTTTTTTTAATTTTCTTAAATTTAAATTAGAAACAAGCTTGTTTTACATGTCAATCCCAGTTCCCTCTCCCTCCCCTTCTCCCCACTGAGCCCCTATCCCATCCCCTTTCTGCTCCCCAGGGAGGGTGAAGCCTTCCATTGGGGATCTTCAAAGTCGGTCATAACATTTGGAGCAGGGCCTAGGTCCTGGCTCATTCTTTGCTTTACAATCTCTTATTATGGTCAGTCTGAAAGATTTCTAGCTCAAATTCTTTAGCTAATAAGACCCTCACTTCCCTTGTGGTTGGGTAACGAAGATGGTAAGTTGGTAACTTGGGTCTTCAAACTCACGCGCTCATCAGATTCAGATATTCACACATGCACAGGAGTGTTTGCGCACCCATGCACAAATTCATGCATGTTCACCTACACACACTCCTCTCATCAGAAATCTGGTGAGGTAGATCTACTTTTTACCAACATTCCCTACCTACAACATTGAAGGTCCACCTCCTTGCTCTTGTTCAGTCAGATACATATTCCCCAACTGCATTCTCTCTTCTAGAAGGTACTCTAATATTTTCCATTGTTTAATATCCCAATTTACATACTTCTTTGCATATTTAAGAGTAAACCTCCTTTTAAATCTTTAATGTGTCGTTTTTCAAACCGTCTTATATCTTGCTTTGCAAATTATGTCGTCTCTTGCTATAAATCAGACTTCCTCTGACTGGGCTGTACAACTGGCAGCCTCTCGTTCACTTGCCAAACTAAATGAACATTCCATATATCAACACTTCCTCCAGAATTCTAACAGTATTACAATCAGCTATCCCACTACCCTCTTCTCCATCACCTTTCTCACTCTTTGTTCAGGTTTTAAGACTACTGGCATATTTTCTTGTTGTTGATATAAACTAAGACTTAAATCACAATG